GGTTTCTTTTCCTTTTGTGTGGTATTGGGGATTGAACCCAAGTATTTTACCTCTAAGATACATTGCTAGCCATATTTTTTTTTTTAGTTGTATATGGACACAATATCTTTATTTTGTTTATTTATTTTTATGTGGTGCTAAGGATCAAATCCAGTGCCTCTCAAGCAAGCGCTCTACTGCTGAGCCCCAATCCCATTCCTAGCCCTTTTGAAAACTATTTTGAGACAGGATCTCCTGTCTCCATAAGTTTCCAAGGCTGCCCTTGAACTTGTGATCTTCTGCCTCAGCCTCCCAAGTTGCTGGGATCACAGGCATGAGCTACTGCCCCCAGGTGTACTTCCGATTTTTTAATTAAGGATATTCAACCTGATAGCATAGACTTCAGAGTCAGATCAAGTTTTAAATCCCAGTGTACTACCTTCTAGTTAGGCAGCTTGAGCAAAGTTACTTTGTGTTTCTGTGCCTGTGCTTCCTTTTTTAAAGAAGTGGTATTAAAAATCACTTTTGTTTTGTTTTGTTTTACAGTTTCAACGTTTCAATGAAACCATTTATTTGAGACGTTTAGCACAATAGTTTTGTAGCAAGCAGTCCATAAATGTAGAAATATAGAAATATAGGTATGTATGCATAGATACACATATCTAATCACTCCTATGACTTTAGTCATTGTGTGTTTGCTTATAATCCCAAATCTTTCTTCAGTTAGATATGTCTTTCCAATACTAGGCCTATATTTATTCTATTGGCCACATAATCCCCAACTCATTATGACCTAAAATGAATTCATTCTTTTTTACACTCCAATAGCCCCTCAACTGGCTCCATTGTTCCCTATCTTTGAATGATATATCTACCTATAGCCCAAGTGAAACTTATGTATTACCCCCTGATTTTTCTTCCTCACCATTTGCAATTCAGTTATCAAGGAGTATTTTTGCATACTGTTTCCTGTGGTTTATTAGTTTATTTTCTACTCCCATTGCAGAAACTCAAAACCTGAGAATCATGAATGTCTTTTTTTCTTTGTACTTCATTTCTATTCTCTATACCAAATCCTCCCAATTTTGTCAAGTAATAGTTTTCAAATTCAGTTACCCTATTTACCTTTCTAGCCTCATCTTATTATCACATTTGCTCCCCATTTTTTGCACTATCTTCATACATGTTATACTTCATGTCACCACAGGGCTCTTGAACTTGCAGTCCACCTCACTTATCAAGTTCCTCTTGTCTTTCACATCTCAGTTCAAAGCATCACTTTTCAGGAAATCCTTCCGTGCCCCAAACTAGGTCAGGTTTGGATTAGTGCTTCTTGATTCTTAGACTGATGCTTCATTCTTTACACTTGCTGGATAAATTTATTTCTGTGTCTAATTATTTGTTTCATGTCCTTCTCCACTACTGGAGTATGAAGACCATAAAGACAGGCAGTCTTACCATGTTCACTTTTTTTTTTTTTTTTTTAAGTGGTGCTGGTGATTGAACTCAGGGCCTCACACACTCACACATACTGGACACTTTACTACTAAGCCATATCCTCAGTCCCCTTGTGTGCCTTTTAAATCCTGATGCCTGATATGTAGTATGTCTCTAAATATTTGTTGAGTGAATAGGTGGTCATTATCACTATCCTAGGGTCTGACATCTCTTCTAAATTTTTGCAGTTTGTGTTTTGTCTATAGATATAGTGATATAGTGTATAGATACACTAATTGGAGTATTCCTTCTATATTATAAATGTGTTTGTGATAGTTTTCTTTAGAATCATTCAATTGTTTCACCTTGTCCTTAAGATAAAGTTCATATTCCTTTCCCAGTCTCATCTCTTATCACTTACCCTTTCTTAATCTGTTTCAGTAGTAGTGTACTACAACATTTGTAGTTCCCCAGACATACTATTTATGTATGATATTTCTAACCTGAAACTTCCTAGCTTTCTGTTCTTTCATTTACATGACCCCTAGTTCTTTTTTTTTTTTTTTTAATATTATTTAGTTGTTGATGGACCTTTATTTTATTTACTTATTTACATGTGGTGCTGAGAATTAAACCCTGCCTCACACATGCTAGGCAAGTGCTCTACCGCTGAGCTACAACTCCAGCCCCAACTCCTAGTTCTTTATTTATCATTCAGGTCTCAGTTTCAGACCTGTTTCCCACTTAGCAAGTATGAGGCCCTGGGTTCAATGCCTAGTAACTCCAAAATAATAATAGTCAGATTTCCCCTTAGATATTTCTGTAGCATGATGTAAATATATACCTGTCGCGGCACATATCATACTGTTAGGTGTTTTTTTTTGTTTGTTTTGTTTTGTTACTGGGGATTGAACTCCAGCACTCAACCACTGAGCCACATCCCCAGCCCTATTTTGTATTTTATGTAGAGATAGGATCTCACTGAGTTGTTCAGTGCCTCGCTTTTGTTAAGGCTGGCTTTGACCTTATGATCCTCTTGCCTTGGCCTCCTGAATCACTGTGATTACAAGCATGCACCACAGTGCCCAGCTATTGTACTGTTTTGAAGATACCTATCAAATTGTGTGTTCTAAACTATTTCTTTATGAATGTTCCGGAAACTAATACAATCTCAGGCACATAGCAGGTACACAGTGAATTCACTCATTATGCAGTAAGTTTAGATACTAAGGCATGTACTGTTGGGGTTAAATCATTGTTATGAACTTTTTAATAGTGGCAAGATGAACTTTTTAATAGTGGCAAGGAATACAAGGTAATTTATTCATAGTATTAGGAAAATTATTTGGAGAACAAATGGAAGATCAACCTAGTTTAAATAGGTTCAGCTTTGCTAAAAATAACAGAAGTGCAATAGTGGTGCACACCTGTAATCCTAGTGACTAGGGAGGCTGAGATGGGAGGATCTCAAGTTCAAAATCAGCATCAGCAACTTTGTGAAGACCTAAGCAACTTAGCAAGACTCTGTCTCAAAAAATAAAAAGGGCTGGGGATGTGGCTTAGTGGTTAAGCATCTCTGGTTCAATCCCCAGGACTCCACTAAAAAATAATAATAAATAAATAAATAAATTACAAAAGTACAAATTAAAACAGCATTGGGGATTTTTTTTTTTCCCCCGAAGTACTGGTATTAAAGCAAAGTACTTACTCTAGCTCACCCTTTTGTAAATTTTGAGAAAAGGACTCACTAATTGCCCATGCTGCTCTAGAGCTCAAGATTCTCTTGTTTCAGCCTCTTTAGTAACTGGGATTACAAGTGTGTGCCACCATTGCCTGGCAGAAAGTTATTTTTGCCTATTAGATTAACAAAGGTTATCATTTATAATATATGGGCAGGTAGGGTATGATGAAATAAACTCTTGCAGTATATAAAAAGTTAATGGGGGCACAACTTCTTTTTATAAAAATTAGTCAGTAGTTAGTAAGCTGTTCAATGTTCTTCTTCTTATTATTTTTTTTTTTTTTTAGAGAGAGAGGGAGAGAGAATTTTTTAATATTTATTTTTTTTTAGTTTTCGGGGGACGCAACATCTTTGTTTGTATGTGGTGCTGAGGATCAAACCCGGGCCGCACGCATGCCAGGCGAGTGCGCTACCACTTGAGCCACATCCCCAGCCCCTATTATTATATTTTTATTTACTTTTTTTATGGGTGGTTCCTGGGGATTGAACCCAGGTCCTTGGGCATGTGAGGCAAGAACTCTACCAACTCTGAGCTATATCTCTAGACCCTCAATGTTCTTTTTTTTTTTTTTATGGTTCTGGGGATTGAACCCAGATGTGCATGCTAGGCATCTGCTTTACCACTGAGCTACATTTCTAGCCCCAAATGTTCATTAATTTTGAACCAGAAATTCAACTTCTAGACATATAATCTTTTGAAATACACATATACAGAAGTATCCAGAAATATAAGTACAAGTTTGTTCACTACAGTGTCGTTTCTAAAGGTGAAAATTTGGATAAAACTCAAATGTTCATCAGTGGGATATTGTTAAAGTAAATGCCACTCACTACATCCATATGTAAAAACTGTATTTAAAGATAGTTTTTAATAATTAAGTAAAGTTGCCTCTATGGATCTGAAAAAAGGTTTATATTATAGTATTAAAATTTTTAAGTAGGTTGCAAAACAGTATATATAAAATATGATTCCTTTTTATACAGAAACACTGTGCCCGTGGTTTAGGCACAGTGGTATATGCCTGTAAATCCCAAGAACTCAGGAGGCTGAAGCAGGAGGACCCCAAGTTTGAGCCTAGCCTGGGCAACTTAGCAAGACTCTGTCTCAGATTTTAAAAAGAGAAATTCGTTACTTAAAAAGTCTGGGTATGAAGCTCAGTGGTAGAGTGCCCCTAGGTTCAATCTCTAGTACTTAAAAAAAACAAAAACCCTAATACCCAAAAATATAAAACTGTGTTATCTGTTAGTGTATGTAGATAACATGGGATAATATGTATATGTATTTAAAAAAAAAATCTGCTGGCTGGGGATGTAGCTCAGTGGTATAGTGCTTGCCTGGCATGAATGAGGACCTGAGTTTAGTCCCCAGCACTCTAAGAAAATAAACAAAAAAACAATGACAGAGTGTTAGGAATGAATTATTTCCTTTTTTTTTTTTTGGTACCAGAGATTGAACCCAGTGACATTCAACCACTGAGCCACATCCCCAGCCCTTTATTAAAAATTTGAGACAGAGTTTTGCTAAGTTGCTTAGGGTCTCGCAAAGTTTCTGAGGCTGGTTTTGAACTTGAGATCCTCCTGCTTAGCCTCTTGAGCTGCTGGAATTACAGGCATGTAGCAGTAAATTATTTCTAAGAGGGTGATCTTAGGGACACTTTTATGTTTTAGTTAAATATTTTTATAATGTTTGATTTTTCAAAAAAAAAACAAAAACCAGCATGCATTGTTACAGTCATTGAGAAAAGGAAATTAAAAGATAAAAAGAGCATTGACTGAATGATGTTAGGGTGCTATCAGTTGCAAGTATGAACTGTATATGTAATTGTGATTCTTTTTTCAATAGAATGCTCAGTGTTTGCATGGGGACATTGCACAGTCACAAAGAGAAATTACACTAAAAGGCTTCAGAGAAGGTAGTTTCAAAGTTTTGGTGGCAACCAATGTGGCTGCCCGTGGTTTGGACATTCCTGAAGTTGACCTGGTGATTCAAAGTTCTCCTCCACAGGTAGGAAATGGGATTTGGTCTGGGGAAAACAAGAGCAGTTTTATAAATTGCTATCTTATTTACAAGTATTGCTTGAAATATGAAAAATATGTCCATCATTCTTGCTTTCAGGTGTTTTTTTGTTACTATGGTGTTAAATTGATCCGAATCTGATGGCCTTTTCAGTGATTAACTTCACTTTTTGAATTTGAAATTTGGATCAACAAAATCATATAAATGAATTATATAAAGTTTATGTTAAGAACTCTGGAAGAGATGGTTAGAAAGCTTAAAACCATCCCCTGTATCCCAAAATTCTAGCATATAAATTATTTGGCATGTTGAAAAGCACAACAGGATTGAAATAAAAATTTAATTATTGTTATTTTATTTCATTATTTGGATGTTGGGATGACTGTGGAGCTTGTCATAATTTTAAAAAGTGTTTTCCTTTTTTAATTTTCAGGATGTTGAGTCCTATATCCATCGTTCTGGACGCACAGGTAGAGCTGGTCGGACCGGAATTTGCATATGTTTTTATCAACCAAGAGAAAGAGGTCAACTAAGATATGTGGAACAAAAAGCAGTAAGTAAAGTTGAATTATTTCAGGCTTATTATCTAAATGGTGCCTTAGAAAAGGGCTCTTTTTATATTTGTTCTCACAAATAGATCTTCTTAACTTTTCTCAGTTTAAGCTGCATTTGGATGTGAAGCATGTGGGAGCTAAATTTATATTAGCTGCAAGACTGTTTTAATACAGCTTTTATTGTGAAGATAGAAGAGCTGCCTTTCTCATTTTTCTCTTGAATTTCTCCCTTGTTATTGAAATAAGTGTGTTGCGATTTCATACACCATTACAGAATTATAAATGGGTGACTGTGACATTGTTTTGGTATAATAATTTAAAATTAAAATTATATTTGCCATAATATAATTATGTAATAGCCAGTGTCTATAAAAATTGTACAATTTCTGTGTTCCAGATTTTTTTGTAGTATTTCACATTTTCTCCTATTTTATAATATTTTTATATACTATCTCATAAACTTTGTAAAGTGAGATGGGAGTAATAAGGAAAAAAGTTGATTGATTTAAATAATGTTCTTTTTTTTTTGAATCAGCTTTGTTTTGCAAGTCAAATTCCATAATTGTAACTAAGGGTCAATTCAAAAAAAATTGTTTTCACTTTTTGAAATTTATAATAGATAATTTATTAGAAAAAGCAGATCTTTTTATCCACTAAGACTTGGAAATCTTCCAAGAAATGGAAATTCAACAAACTATATTAGTTTAGGAATTAATTGTAACAAATTCCATTTTTCTTTAATGTAATTCTTTCATTTTCAGGGAATTACTTTTAAACGTGTAGGTGTTCCTTCTACAATGGATTTAGTTAAATCTAAAAGCATGGATGCCATCAGGTATGCTTTCTGACCTTGCTGAATAATTTTTGCTTTTGTATTAGGCTATTCATCTTTAAGCTCTTCTAGTTCAAATATCAGAAAATTTTAATCACCAGTTTTACCAGCAGACATTTAGTTATATTAATATATGAAAACGTTACTCTTTCTTTTCCCATTCATTCTCTCATCTTTTTTCCCTGTCATGACCAAGAAAATTTACTATTTTTAAACCGTAGGTCTCTGGCTTCTGTTTCTTTTGCTGCTGTTGATTTTTTCCGACCATCAGCTCAGAGACTGATAGAAGAGAAAGGAGCAGTGGATGCATTGGCTGCAGCATTAGCCCACATTTCTGGTGCATCAAGCTTTGAACCACGGTCTTTGATCACCTCTGATAAGGTAGAAGTCTGTGAAATAATTGTATTTGGTTGGGAAAAGGGTGAAATTGAGCTATAGCAGTAACTGCATAATCAATGAGTGTTGCATTTACTCCCTTCAATAAATTGCACTTTCTGTGCAGAGAAAACTGTTTTGCTCTATTAGAAATTGACTTTCTCATTTTCCTCCACCCCTAAATTTTTTGGGGGGTGTGGTGGAGGCAGTATCTGGGATTGAACTCAGGGGCACCCGACCAATGAGCCCCCATCCCCAGACCTATTTTGTATTTTACTTAGAGACAAGGTCTCAATGAATTGCTTAGTGCCTCACTTTTGCTGAGGCTGGCTTTGAACTTGTGATCCTCCTTTCTCAGCCTCCCAAGCCACTGGGATTAAAGGCTTGCACTACCACGCTCTGCTAAATTTTTCTTGACAGCCATCTTCCAGATTTTCAAGCCTATAGAAAAAAAAATTGAAAGAATATTGCAATAAATAATGACCTAGATTCAACAACTGTCAATATTGTGTTACATTTGCTTTGTTTTTGAATATACTTTTTTTTTTTTTTTTTTGCTAAACCATTTGGAAGTAAGTTGAAACATTATGACATTATTCCTAAGTATTTGCTTCTTCTAATGATGAAGATTCTTGTCTACATAATCACAATATCATAGTCTCACCTACAAAAATGAGCTAGGGAATAAAGCTCAGTTGGGTAGAGTGCTTGCCTTGCATGCACAAAGCCCTGGGTTCAATCCCCAGCACCACCAAAAAAATGTTGTAGTTCTACATTAATCATCTTATATCTAATAAATATGCAGATTTGTTTATTTCAAAAATGTGTATGTGGAGTAAAATATAGGAAATCCTAACATTGCACAGCACTGTGCAAACTGAAACTTGTATAACAGAATCTATACTTCATTTTGTTGCTATGAAATCATGCAAAGTGAGAAACAGATTCTGTGCAGGTGACATCATAACATAGTAGAATATGAAGTAGGGATTCTATGTGGAAGGGTCTGTGTGTATAACACTGACTGACATGGCCCACTGCCAGGTTGGTGTCAGATATCAAAACTTATCACATCAATAATCCCAATGGTTTGGGCTGGGGAGGCTGAGAATTGCGAGTTCAAAGCCAGCCTCAGCAACTGCAAGGCACTAAGCAACTCAGTGAGATCCTGTCTCTAAATAAAATACAAAATAGAGCTGAGGATGTGGCTCCGTGGTCGAGTGTCCCTGAGTTCAATCCCTGGTACCAAAACAAACAAACAAAAAAACACATAAGAGCCATTGGTAGCAAGTGGTTTAAAGATTTACTTATCTGGGTATAAGTGAGCAGAATCCCAGTATGCAGAGACTCATCAGTAAAATCTCTCTGATGTAGAGAAAGACAAGAGTGCACATGAATTTGGTCCTGGAACCTTTATAAGACAATAATAGCCTGTTGTCAGGATATTAGAATGATAGGGCAGAGTAATTCTGGGCAGCCATCCCTGTAGCCGGGAGGAGGGAGAAATGGGGCAGGGCAGATAAATTTGCTTGTGACATTTGGTGTAGCACAAATGAGTGCAAATGGAGCATCTGATGGTTTTCTTGTGGCAGATATTAATAGTTGTGCCAAATGTCATTTTGTTGGAAGTTAACCATATGTCCAGTTGTTTCTCCATTTATGTGTGTGTGTGTGTGTGTGTGAAAAATCAGTATTCTAGTTAAGGTTCTTATGTTATAATTTGGTTGTTGTGTCTTTTTAGTATCTTTTAGTCTAGAACAATTTTCCATCTTTTTTATTTTTCATGACTTTGAATTTGTAAAGAGTTAGGTCAGTTGTCTGTTAGAAGATCTCACTTTCTGGATTTGTCCAAAATTTTTCTTGCATAATTTATTTTTGCCTTTATCCAGAGTCACAATGCATATGTCAAAGCTTGATTTTTATATTCAGGCTAAATGTTTTTTGGCAAGAGTATGTTATATGTAATACTGTATACTTCATAGTGAATCATATCAAGAAGCATATGTCATATTGCTTTAGTAGTATACTTAGTTTGGTTGCTTGTTTGTTGGCAACTGCCATATATTTCCATTTTCAAAGAATATTTTACTCTCTTAATTAGTAATCTGTGGGGTGATACTTTTAGCATCAAGCAGATATTCTATCCCAATAACTCACCGAATACTTAAATGTATAATATCTTAAAACAATATTTAAACCATATTGGTTTTGTTTGTAGTACTATGGAGTGAACTCAGGTGTGCTCTAGTTCTGGGCTGTATCCCCATACTGCACTCGACCCTGAGCCACATCCTCAGCCCTATTTTATATTTTTATTTAGAGACAGGATCTCACTCAGTTGCTTTGCTGGGGCTGGCTTTGAATTCATGATTCTCCTGTCTCAGCCTCCGGAGTTCCTGGGATTACAGGCATGTGCCACCATACCCGGTCCTTTTTATTTTGAGAAAATGTCTTACTAACTTACTGAATCCGGCCTCAAACTTGACATCTTCCTGTCTCTCAGCCTCCTGAGTCTTTGGGATTACAGATGTGTACCACTTCACCTGGCTAACCTATTTAATTTTACTCAAAACATTAACCTACCTCTTCATAATGGCTTCCTCCTTGACTTCATTCATTACCATATTAGAGAGGTCTTTTTTTTTTTTTTTTTTTTTTTTGTGGTGCTAGTGTTTGAACCCAAGGCTTCTACCATTGTGCCACATCCCCAGTCAGAGAGGTCTTTCCCAATCACCCTGATGCATTCTATAATAGCTTGTTCTCCTTTTACATTTCTTTATCTTCTTCATGATGGTCCTTTTGCTGTTCAGTGAAGGTTTACAAAACAAGTAATTTTTGGTTATTTAATTAGTAGTATACTTAATTAGTATAGTACTTCAAAAGTTCAGAGAGATTTTTTTCCTTTTTTTTATGTTCTTCCACTCCAAGGTAACTTTTTAAAAACTCTTTCAGTGTTTCCTTTCGTCTTTACTACCTTATCATTCTCTGATGCTGTTTTGTTTAATTCTCTTATAAAGCATGATGCTAAGAATTAAATATAGTCTTTACAACACTACACAGAAAGATGATACTTTCAAAGATCTATAAACATTAGTCTTTTTTTTTTATTTGTTGATAGACCTTTATTTTATTTATGTATTTATATGTGGTGCTGAGAATCGAACCTAGTGCCTCACACATGCCAGGCAAGTGTGCTACCACTGAGCCCCAGCCCCAGCCCCTAAACATTAGTCTTTTAATTTAGTTTCAGAGAAGTTATTTTTTAGCAGCCATGTTATACTGTTGGTTCATAAGAAATGCAGTTAAGTCATATAGGTCTATAGAGATAGAACTTCATTGTCCTGTGCTGCTACTGATTTTTTTCCCAAACATAATGTGAGTTTTTTTTTTTTCCCTTAAGGGATTTGTGACAATGACTCTGGAAAGCCCTGAAGAAATACAGAATGTCACCTGTGCTTGGAAAGAACTTAACAGAAAGCTGAGTAGTAATGCTGTGTCCCAAATTACAAGAATGTGCCTCCTAAAAGGAAATATGGTAGGCTTTTCTAGATAATCCAAAAGATTTTTAATCAATGACCACAAGTATTTATAAGCAATAGCCTAATGGGATGAATAATTCTATTTTTCTAAGTGTTGGTTTGTTTCCAGTTGTGAATTTGGGGAATTATATAATTAATTCATTTCTCTAGAGCTATAAGTCATTCTGCGTGGTTTGTCTTTCTGTTCCCTGCCCCGCCCCCACAGTGCAAACCAAGGGGAACAAACCAAGAGTCTTGTGCATGCTCTACCTCTAAGCCACATTTCCAACCCTGGTTTGATTATCTAAAACCCAAGTTATCTAAGCTTCTGTTTTGGTATAAATATCGTGTAGTTGTGTGTGTTTATTTTCTAAGAGTAAATAATTGCAACAGTTAAATAGCTATACAGTTTAGACAACACACAATATGTCTGTTATAATTAACCTGCTATTTATTTGTTGTTAATTTTAATAGTATGAATTAAATAAGTATTTCAACATTTATTTATATAGCATATAAAACTGTAATCTTTTTTTTTTTTTTTTTTTTTTTTTGGTATTGGGAATTGAACCCAGGGTGCTTTACATTGATACATTCCCCAGTCCTTTTGAGTTTTTATTTTGTGATAGGGTTTTGCTAAGTTGCTAAGGCTAGTCTTGAACTTGCAAGCCTCCTGAGTTGCTGGGATTAGAGGTGTGTGCCACTGTGCTCGTAAAAGTATAATTTTAGTGACTGTGATTTCTTCTAATGGTTTTGAGAAAAGATGTTATATTTATTTATCTCACATTGCTACGTAGGTAGGCTTATTCTAACATAGAATTTATTAACTAAATTGTTTATTGGAAATAATCATCTTTTTAAAGGTTTACTGTTATTTCTCCTCAACACAGATTTGAAGCAAATAGGGAAAACATACAAACATTAACAAAAAAACATAGAGGAGAGGTAAAGCAGATCCATAGACCAAACTAGTTATTGAGTATTAAATTAACTTTCAACCAGGACTGAAGAGGAAACATCTCTGGCTACATTAGTATCATTATATGATAAATATTCTACCACTTTTTTTTTTGTTTTGTTTTGTTTTGTTTGTTTTTGTGGTTCTGGGGATTAGAACTCAGGGCTTTCTGCATGCAAGGCATGCATTTTACCAACTAAGTTATAGCCCCGCCCAAATTTCTACCTTTTTGACAGAAGCTTTCTGGCTCTAAATTTTATTTTATTTGAAATTAAAAAATTATGTTTATTTTTGAGATATATCTATCTATCTTTATTTTATTCGTTTTTAAAGAATTTATTAGAAGGATCATTTTATAAGGGACATGGAATAAAATTATAGTGATTGAAAAAATAATACTAGAGAATATTCTAGAGTCTTATTAGTATATTCTTTTTTAAAAAATATTATTATTATTATTATTTTTTTTAATATTTATTTATTTATTTTAGTTTTTGGCGGACACAACATCTTTGTTTGTATGTGGTGCTGAGGATCGAACCCGGGCCGCAGGCACACCAGGCGAGCACGCTACCGCTTGAGCCCCATCCCCAGCCCAAAATATTATTTTTTTAATATTTATTTTTTAGTTGCAGTTGGACACAATATCTTTATTTTATTTATTTATTTTATGTGGTGCTGAGGATCGAACCCAGGGCCTCGCATGTGCTAGAAAAGTGCTCTACCGCTGAGCCACAACCCCAGCCCCAGTAGATTCTTATTAGATATTGTATTTAGTTACTTTTCTGATTTAGAAAATACATTAAGCAGATACTCTGGAATACACTTAATATTTTTTATAGCAAAGATTATCAGCAAATATTAGTTTATTAGTAAAAATTAACTCATGCATCTAGATAAAAATATTTTTATTTTGCTTGCTTTTAGGGTGTTTGCTTTGATGTTCCTACAACCGAGTCAGAAAAGTTACAGGTATTTAAAAAAAATTTTTATCTCCTTCTCTAAAAGATTGTTTTGAAAAACATAATTACTCTATCATTATCATGCCTAAGTCAGTTAAGAATTCCTTAATATGAAATATCCAGTCTGTCTCATAATCAAAAATTTTTTATTATAAATATTTTAATCAAATAAAATGATAGAATTGTCTGAATTCCCATGTTCATGTCATCAGCTTCAGCTATTCATGGCTTGTGTGGTTTTTTGTTTGTTTGGTACCAGGGATTGAACTCAGGGGCATTTGCCCACTGAGCCACATCCCCAGCCCATTTTTTTTCCCCCAGCCCTTTTTTGTATTTTATTTTGAGATAGGATATCACTGAGTTGCTTAGCGCATTCCTTTTTGCATCCTGCCTCAGCCTCCCAAGCCTCTGGGATTTTAGGCATTCACCACTGTGCCCGGCTCATGGCTAGTTTTGTTTCATCTCTGTTTCTATCCACTTCCCTGTGTCTTTTAAGGCATTCTATCATTTCAACCATAAATATTTTCATATATTTAAAAAGTATACCTGTAGTATCATATTTAAATCTTCCGAAACAATAATCCCTAAATATTTTGTATTTAAATTTCCCCTATTTTCTCCCCCATTTTTCCTCCTGGTGCTGGGGATTGATCCAAGGGCCTCACACATGCTAGTCAACTGAGCTACACCACCAGCACTCCAGAAAATTTTTCATTAATAAAGTCCATAAAGTTTATATATTGTAATTTGTTGTTTTCTATTTCTCTTTCAATTTGTAGGATGTCCTTTCTTTTTCCAAAAAATTTCCTTGTATTTTATATGTTGAAGAAACAGGTCCACTAGAGTCCAAAAATTTGTTATATACCTTTGTATATTTATATAGTCACATATTTTGAATCAATAATAGGATTAATTATGAAGTCTTTTTTTAATTTTTGGTACCAGGGATTGACTCAGTGACACTCAACCACTGAGCCACATCCCCAGCCCTATTTTGTATTTTATTTAGAGACAGGGTCTCACTGAGTTGCTTAGTGCCTCACTGTTGCTGAGGCTGGGTTTGAACTCATGATCCTCCTGATCCAGCCTCCTGAACCCCTGGGATTACAGGCCTGAGCCACTGTGCCCAGCAATTTTGAAGTCTTTTTAAATATTAGCATTATATCATGGATACATTCTACATCAATTATAGATACTCTTTTTTTGTTGGGGGGTGGGTATTGGGAATTGAACCCAGGGGGCACTTTACCGCTGAGCTATATTCCTTGCCTCCCCCTACCCACCTTTTTTTCTTTTTTTTTTAGTTGTAGATGGACACAGAACCTTTTCTATTTATGTCTATGTGGTGCTGAGGATAGAACCCAGTGCCTCACACATGCTAGGCAAGCACTCTACCACAGAGCTATAACCCCAGCCTTTTTTTATTTTGAGCCAGGGTCTCTTTAAGTTGCTGAGGCTGTCCTCAAATTTGGGATCCTCCTGTCTTGCCCTCCCAGGTCACTGGGATTACAGGAATGTGCCACCATGCCTGGCTACAGTTGCTTATTTTTTATGATGCCCTGGTATGGAGGCTCAACTTTGATCACCAGTGTTCTGTTTTCTGAAATTTAGACTATTTCCAATTTATTATTATAAATAAAACTGCCCAGAATATTGATATAAGTAATTCTTCCTGCATTGCCATGTTTAATCTCTCTAAGATGAATTTTTTAATATGACTGTTGGCCAAAAGGTTTGTGCATTTTTTTTAATGTTTATTTTTTAGTTGTAGTTGGACATAATACCTTTATTTTTTATTTTTATTGACTTATTTTTATGTCAGGATGAGGATCAAACCCAGGCTCTTGCACGTGTGAGGCACATGCTCTACCGCTGAGCCAAAACCCCAGCCCTGGTTTGTGCATTTTTAAGACTGTGCTCATATGTTGCCAAACCTACCAATGATTTATGTGGGTGTTTTTCTCTTCTCATTCTTATCAACAGGGCATTTTACATTGACTTCCCTTGGCAACTTGTGCTCATAATGAACAATGGTTATTACCAAGATAACACATTGCACTGCTCTTATGAGCTGCCTTTTTTTTTTTTTTTTTTTTTTTTTTAGGGGAACACTAAGGATTGAACCCAGGGCAAGCATTCTACTACTGAGCACTGTCTCCATACCACTGATTCATGTATCTTGAGTTGATTACTCTAGTAAATTGTTTTTAGTAGCTATATTTTTTAGTTCCTGGTTACTGTTGACAGATTTCTAATCCCTGTTATCGGCCGTAATATATCTTGTTTTTGTCAGTATACCTCTTTAAAATAATGGAATGCGTATTAATGCTCTATTTCTTTGTCCTAAGAAAGCAGATAGCAGTCTCCTTTAGACCGTGTAAATTGATGAGTTTAAAGTCTTGAAATGGGTCAGAGAGTTCTCCTGAAACTAAAGCTTAGTAACTTTAGTCATTGAACGTGTTTTCTTTTTCTTTTTTAAAAATATTTATTTATTTGGTGTAGATGGACACAACACAATGCCTTTATTTTTATGTGGTACTGAGGATCGAACCCGGGTCCCGCCTGTGCTAGGCAAGCGCTCTACCGCTGAGCCACAATCCCAGCCCTGAACATGTTTTCTTTTTGCTTATTTTTTGGTTTTCATTTTTGTTCCAGACACTTTGGATTTAAGTGATAGATGATCTTTGGCTAACAGATAAAGGACATGCAAAAGTATTCTTTGCTTGCTTATGGTTTCAATTTTGCATTTCTATTAATCCTGTAAATTCTTCTAACAGGCAGAGTGGCATGATTCAGATTGGATACTCTCAGTGCCAGCCAAATTACCTGAAATCGAAGAGTATTATGATGGAAATACATCTTCTAATTCCAGACAAAGGAGTAGTGGCTGGTCAAGTGGCAGGTCTGGCCGGTCAGGTCGATCAGGTGGTCGATCTGGTGGCCGGTCAGGTAGACCGAGTCGACAGGGAAGTCGGTCAGGAAGTCGACAAGATGGTAGAAGACGAAGTGGGAACAGAAATCGATCAAGAAGCGGGGGCCACAAACGGAGTTTTGACTGAGCATTTGATAGTTAATCTACCAGTGTGAGCTTGCCTATGTCTGCCTAATCATGTACATTATCCACCAAAAATTAGGTCATCATAGTTGAGGTGTGTGTCTGCTGTTTGCAAAGAAGTTGGTCGTATTTTTTTAAAAAGTATTTCACAAAAATGGTTGTAAACAAATCTACTTATCCAGTTATAACTTTGAATAAAAAAAACCCTCCTTTTATTGTCTCTTTTCACTATGTGTTAAGAATTTTCTCAGTGTAATCTTTTTAAAATTTCTTCTAAGTCTCCACAGTCAAGTTAACCTTTCTTAAGGTTTATATTTTACAAAATATGGTGTATTTTTATTCAAATCATTCCTTCCATAGATTATGTGATAGGAAATAAATCCCTTCTGCATTAAAGGGCTGTATAAACTGATGACGTGGTTAGTTAGGTATATTTTTTTGAGGTCTAGATATATTTAATTCAAAAGATGTGAGCGGTGCACACTTAATTTATTCAACAGATAGTTTATTGACTGTCCACTATCCATTGCTGTGCTATTCACTGGGGAATATAGCTTGAATAGGCATAATCAGTATGCTCGTGAAACTCACTCTTTTTTGATACTGGGGATTGAATCTAGGGTCGTTTTACCACTAAGATACACCCCCCCAAACCTTTTTATTTATTTATTTTTTAAATTTGAGACAAAGTCTCACTAAGTTGCTTAGGGTCTCATTAAGTTACTGAAGTTGACTTTGTACTTGCAATCTTCCTGCTTCAGCTTCCTCTGAATTTCTGGAATTATAGGAATGCACCCACTGTGTCTGGCTACTTACTGTCTTAATAGACAATCAGCATTTATGATAGAGATTAATTAAAAGTAAGAAAAGTGTAGATATGAAATGCTGAGGACCTCATTGTATACCTGACCAATTTTAGAAGTCATGAAGGCTCCTAAAACAAGAAAAGGAGAAGTATCAGTTGATCTAGCCATATGTGTGTGTATGGTAGGAAGAAGAGTTTAGAAGGAAGAGAGTTTGCAGATAGAACAGCATATGTAGGAACCTAGAGGGTAAGGCTGAGGACTTACAATTAATGCTAGGCAGAGAACAGAAATAAGAGAAAGGATTTAGTTTTTAACAGGGACCATTTGTTATAGACCTTATCTGCATTGTTCAAATTTTTTCTTGAACCATTAAAGGGTTTATAGTATGGGATAATATGATTAGATGTATGTTTCAGAAAGACTGTGGCGGTACTGATAATACTGGATTAGAGGGGGCATACTGAAGGCCAAGAAATCTAAAGAGGATCATGGAGTAATCCAAGGTAGAGATGCTCATCTTATAGGTAACTCCTGCCCCCCTCTAGGAGTTGAACCCAAGGGCACTCTACCACTGAACTACATCCCCAGGCCCTTTTTTATTTTGAGATTAATTGCTGAGGCTGGCCTTGCAATGCCTCAGCCTCCCAAGTAGCTGGGATTACAGGCATATGCCACCAAGCCCATCTGAGACGTAATATTTTTAAGTGATGAAACTGAGGTACATGAGAGCTTGTTACTTGCCCAAAAGTTACTTGCCACTGCTAGACAACATGTAGTATAGCAAGAATTTGAACCCAGATAAGTCTAGCTTCAACACCAGTGTTTTTAACCACTGTGTTAGGAGGTAGAATCGTTAGGACTCAGTTATTGATTGGATTGGAAAATGAGAGGCATAAGAATGAAATCAACATTTCACTAAGATAGGAAGAACAAGAAAAGTTAATGGGGAAGAAGTGGGAATATGGTAAATTCAGGATTAGATATATTTTAATATTGAGGATAAGATTTGTTAAAGGAAATAAAGCAGTAGGAAATTTAGTTTATAGGTTTGAAGCTTAGGAGATACTTGTTTTGGAGAGATTTGAGAATTAAAAAGAAAAATGTAGTTAGGGTGGTAAATGAGATTATCCAGCGAAAGCATCATAAGGAATGAAGACTGAGGAAGGAACCCAGAGGTAAATTACCATACTTAATACATGGAAGAAAGGGGAGCCCATTGAGAAGAGATGGTAGTAAGAGGGCAGAAAGCTCAGGGGTATGAGGCTTTCAAAGGAAATCAGGAGATGAATCTGAACTGACCACTGGACTTAAGAAAAAGGAAATGAGACATTAGGAGCAGCCTTATTAATAAAGTATTGAGAATAGAAGCCAGCTAGCAGTGAATTCAGTAGGAAATGAGGAATAAGTGGGGACAATAAACGTGCACATCTTTTTCAGAAATTTTAGCTGTGGATTGGGAAGAATAACTTAAAGGTTGGAGGTAGAAGAAAGGACATGAGGTTTGGTGAGGATTTGGTGTGGGTGGTGGTGGTGATGGGACTGGGGAATGTCTGAGTATGTTGAAACATTAATGAAAAGACGGGAAGGGAGGGCACTATGAAGATTTAGGAGAAGTCTGGGTGTGCAGTGGCCCAGGACTGTGATCCTTGTGACTGAAGACTGAGGTAGAAGAATTGCAAGGGATAGAATCAAGGGCAAAATTATAGAGATTTTAAGGGCTGGGGAATCTAGCTTGGTGATAAGAGTACTTGCCTAGCATGTGTGAGGCCACAGGTTCAATTCCATTTGGCAAAAAAAGTTTTGTTTTTGTTTTTGAGAAAATTAGAGATTTCAGCCTTAGATGAAATAAACACATCTCAACATTTGGTCAGCAGAAAAATATTATCATGGATGTGTTTTCCTTTCTCCTGAGATTTTGTGTCCTTTTGTACTCCCCCCACCTCTCAGCCTTTTTCTATTTTTTATATATTTTATTTATTTATGTGGTGCTGAGGATTGAACCCAGGACCTCTCACATGCTAGGCAAGCGCTCTACCACTGAGCCAACAACCCTAGCCCATATCATGGATGTGTTTTCAGATGATAAGGTAAAAAGGGACTGAATTTATAGTGGCTACAATTAGAGCAATTTCCTGTAGCAGCACCCAGCAGTCTGATTGTAGAAACAGAAATAGGAGATACTTGGTTGACCAAGGAGACTGGGGTTTTAATCTGTGAAAGACCTGAAAGGATGAAAAGGTATATGTATATATATGTGTGTGTATATATATATATAGAGAGAGAGGGGGGGGGAGGGGACTTTGGTAAAGTGATTGGAGTAATAGCCCATGGAGTCTAGACTGCCTGGGGACTGAAGTGGAGATGGGGTTGATAACATAATGTGCCCTGGGTTCAACTATAGCATGTTGGGGGTTGCAGGCGGGATGGAGCAATTGGGGAGAAAATAAGTGTAGGATATGGTAGTATGCCTGTTGTGGGAAAAAGTCATTTCACATTCAATGAATGTGAAGCCAGGTATCATATAGATGGTTTTCATGGACAATGAAGTCTAGGATGAAGACAAGCCAGAACTGAGGAGAGAGGAAGATTAAAACAGGTTGCAAACTAGCAATAAATTATGGAGGTTGGTAAGTTACCTGAATGAGGAAGAGATGTGGTAAAATTACCATGTATCTTCAAAAAGACAAAGCTTTTACACAAAGTAAAGGGTAATGCTTTGGAAATGGATTTGAAGAAATGAGCACTGATTACCAACCAGAGTACTTGGAATGTCAGGGAATGAATAACATCTGTTTGACAAAGCTACAGAGGGTGTATTTTTCCAGAAGAGCCAGATTTCATTTAAACCAAGAAGGGGAGGACTTGCAGTGCTGGACCTATTAATTTGCATGAGTATTAGTACATTCAATCAGATTACCTGTGTGCTTACAATGTCCCAGACAATATGTTTTGGGTAAATAAGGAATGTTCTGTCTCTCTCCTGAGGAGCTCAGAATCTAGTGAAGTAGATGGATAAAGAACCCTAAGTCCATGGCAGTGACTAAATGCAAGCTCTGAGCAATGATTCCCAGGCCAGGAACTGGAGAAGGGGTTCAGAGAAAGCTTTTTAGGTATGGTGATTGAACGTGAACAAATTGGGGGATAAAATAAACAAGGAACTGGGAATCTAGGCAAAAGCACAGAATAGCTAATAAGACAACATGGTTGAAAGGTGTGAGGGAACTGTAAGTATTTTTTTTTTTTTCTTTCTTTCTTGAAATACCAGGGACTGAACTCAAGGCCTTGCACATGCTAGGCAAACACTATTAGAGCTACATCCCCAGCGTATAAGTAGCTCTTATTGTTGGGGTCTTCAATATGAGAAAAGTAGAGGAGAGCATCATATCTTGGAGGGCTTTGTAGGCCTTTTTTTGGATAGCCTTTGAAAAGGTTCCAGGGAAAAGAGTGAAAAAGATAATAAGTAGGTAAATGCCAGCAAGGTGGATGGACATAAAGGGTTCATCTTATAATTACCTTCCCATTTGTAGGGGTTCTAACAAGATTAAATAATAGCTTCCTATATCTTCTTGAAGGAAGGAGGAGGTAGGGGAAACTTATCAAATTCTCCACTTCAAACAGTATTCAGCCACTTTGCTCTGTATTTTTTCTAGTACCCAGAACCTTTATGGACTTCAGCTTTTGGTCTCCAGTTTGGTACTGTGTACTCTAGTGTGCTCAATTAACAGCTATTTGAACCTGAATCAGTTTATTCCAATCCTCATATTTTTGAATTTGTAAATGAAACAGCACATTCTATTTAGCATTAGAATTTGGAGTACTGAATTCATAAATAGGTATGAATGTCTGAGAGCCTTCTCTCACATTGTTTTTCTTTTGTGTTTTGGCAGTAGTGTTTAACAGTAGTTTTTTTTTTTTTTTTTTTGTTTTTTTTAATCCTTACTCCTTTTTTTATTATTAGTAATACATTTCCATTGTTGAAAATCTGAAAAAAAAATAGAGAAGAAATGGAAGAAAATAAAAACCACCCATAATCACATCACTTAGAGATTCGTATTTTTAACATTTTTATTGAGTCTTTTGAATTCAGTGTGTGTGTGTGTGTGTACACATATCTTTAAAATAGAAATTCTTCCACAAATATACTGTTTTACGAAAAACAGTATATCATCTAAATCAGAGGAAACTGGCCTAGTAGAATTGACATTTGAGAACTTCACATTTCCTGTTGAATATAGATGACACATTTCTTCAACTTTTTAAAATTGAATTTTATGCTGCTATTTAGTCTCCTTTATGTAACATCTGGCTACCTTTGAATTAAAAAGGACTTTTGCATATTTCCTGTTGGAATTTTGGATTTGTGCCTACATGCAGATACATTACAAAGGAACTTGCATACTTGGTAAGTTTTAACAATGTTTT